AAGCGTTAAGCTAGATGCATAGAAAGTGATCTCTGACTATTCTCATACACTATCTTCGAGGTGGGTGTCCTCTTGTAAGTATGTGGTGCTGTGGCTTGTAAGCCCATTTCACTCCAATGTGACGGTGGATTCTCCTCTGCTGTTTCATGCTATTGGCACATTGAGCCCGATGTAATGTTCGGTTCTGGTGGTGAATTCATTATATCTCATTTATTACCTAATTAGTGTCGGAAACCATCATAATTTCGAGATTACGTTTATTTAAGAACACTAATAGGTTCATTCATATTTGCTATAAATACATACAGAGCATTAACTTCGGAGGTATAGAAAAATGTGGTCAATTCGTTTTACTATCTACATATGTATGCGTACATCCCGGCGTGAATTTGTTTGGAAGTAATATATCTCAATGTCTTGTTTTTATATTTCATTTAGGAGTTTGGGTTCTTGTCTTTTTGGAGGTCAGACTTAATCTTGAGTCTGGTTCTACCTACCTTCTTTATTCTCATTGCTCCTAAAGGTCCACTAATTATACAATATTGATTTTCCCCGGATTGATCAATAAAGGAGCCAATAAGCCTCAAAGTTCGACTTAATGCGGCTCAGGAAAATGGGACACCGAAAGAATTGACAAATATCTCTTCTTAGGTATGACATGATGGGGAAGTATAGTAAACTATTGCTTATCCTCACAAAAATGTGACATCCTGATTGTGCAGACTTCGTTTTATTTTCGGCCAGCGTGTTTGCTCAGTTCATTGGGTATCTTTCAAGCGGGTAAATAACTGACTGCCTTAGGTTAATTTATGTCGCTTATCTATTTGTTTTAACACTTATTTTATATATTTTGACTATTTGCCTCATATTCTTAATAGGTTTAGTCGGGTATGTATTTAGATGAATATTGACTCAAGATAGTATTGTTGGGGCGAGTTATTCTGCATAGAAGTGCATGTTGAAGAGATTTGATGGTCGATGTCACCCGTTTCTGTTGTACTGCAGCCATTTGTCTTTTATATGACGCTCAGGTAGAGGCAGTCCACGAGATATTTTCTCTCGTATCCATATGCCTTGTGGACTGCGTCAACCTGGACGTCATTAAAGCCAAACTGCTGCAGTACAATGGGAATCAGCCGTCACCTTATTGTGGCATCGACTTTGTAACCTCTTCATCATAAACTTTTATACGAAATGATAGTCTCCACAACAATATTCTTTCATGAGATTAATCAAAACCCGTTTATTCTTCGTATAAGCGCAAGTTCTAACTTCTATTAATCCTTTCGTTTATCTGTATTTTAAGAGTGCACTAAAATGTTGCCAGACTCGGCCTTTATGAATAAAAAACATCTCAACAAAATTAATTTTTAGAAAAAAAAACCGGTAGAATTTTTTTACTGTTTTCTATCTGTTTCATTCTCAACTTTTATAATTATATTCATATATAGTCTATCTAGGACTATCGGTGAATCATGAATAAGTTAGCATAAGGGGATGAAGGACTAATAGTTGAATTTTTCCACACTTGTAAGTAGGTCTCGCGATGCTATTTACTTTCGCTTATCCAAAAGTCATTCTAATCCAGTGTCAAACACGGCTTAAATATCGCCCGACTGTTATCATCACTCCCGACGGGAATCTAACCCTGGTCTACGTGGCGTTTATTTTCAACAAGTTATCACTGCCACGGGTGCCAGCGTTACTGAAAATACGTGATTTCAGGTGGTGTCAGGCCTTTATTATATCACATTTATAGTGGAATCGTCGGTGAGGCAGTTTTATTTTCCCATTACAGTCTACATTATTTATACTCATGTTTATTAGTTTTGAACTATCAATAGGCCTTTGACAAGTACCGCATTCAACTGTTGAGAGCCCTGATGTGACTCAGGCGAACTCGCCATTTTGGTTATCCCGGATGAAATTTGATTTTGGAGATCAAGGCTAAGTGAAATTCACTAACATCGTTATGCTTACTCAGAGCATTGTGAGAAAATTTAACAATCGTTCCTTCACATGCAAGCCGGGTTTAATTGAATTCTTTATGATTCTCCTGACTGTTCATCACATTTTCTACCCACTGGTTTATCAGACATTTCGAAATTGCTTTATTCATGATACTTTTTGTTAATTAAGCGGACGGAAGTTAATTACTGATCATATACATAAAATACAAAGTGTAATCCTAACTATTCTGAAGCGCTTTTTAATTGTGCATAGAAAATTCCTCATCGATTACGATAAGCTGTCGTTGCGATCTCGTTCGCTTCTATGGGATCCAATTAAGGTGCAAAATTAACTTTTTTTGACTTAACTGGTGCTTATCATTTTCGATAGTATTTCACTCTGTCCTTGTCGCCTTCGAAGAAACACGCTGTTTCATTTTGCTCCAATTTTTGACCAAATAGGAAAATATTAAGATTATCACAGTATTTTATATTATAAGTAATTTAAAGTCAATTAATTATATTTTTTGAAAGGAGTTGTGTATGATTTAGCTGGAGAAGACCGGAAAATAATGTTGCAATTTCCTTGGCCATTTAAATTTTTCTGCTTTTATTACATTAATTTAATTTTACCCGTTTCTACTATGCTTTCTTGCGTCTATACTTATTGCTAAAACCAATTTATCTAATCTAATAATATCAGCCCTGTGGGAGCAGCAGGTAGACCACCTCTCTACCAGGCCCGCTTACCACATGGTAATGGTCGTCTTCCACCACCAGGTGCAATGATGGCAAGTGTCACGGGTGCTGATACCAACGGTGCATCAGGCCCTTTGCATCACTCACGCGGCTTTGGAGCTCCTATACATCGGCCTGGCTTCTCAGGGCTCCCTGGTGGCGCCGGTGGAGTTCCAAGTGGTCATGCATTCTGTTTCCCTTCCAATCCTCCACACATTCGCCCTGAAGCCCATGGTGCCCGACCTCCTTACTCTGGGCCCCAATTTTCAGGACATCCTGGGGGACCTCCAAGTCGTTTTCCTTACCGACCGAGCCATGTACCTCCACCGGGCCCTGGCTACTATAACCAACATCACCATCATTCTCATCACCAGCAGTCTGGCGTCAGGCCATGCATGATAAGCAATGGTCCTCCAGGTGGTTTCATGGGCCATGGCCAAGGTGGGCCCGGCTCCCCTCCACACCCAGGGCAGACAGAGGCTGCAGCGGCTAATGCCGCCAAAGAGGCATTGGTGAGCTCAGAATTGGACAAAATGGCAGCCATGCTCGCGCTATCTGCAAAACGCGATTCAAACTCGGTGACTACTTCTGGAGGTCTTAATGATTCCTCAGAGCTTGGCTCCCAGACGCAATCGCATGCAACTTCAGGCTCGACAAATGATTTAGGAGAAAATGTGAGATTTACTTTCCGACACAAGTATTATGTTTGCTGCTAAATCGTGTTTGCTTTTTTGCATGCTACTAGAAAACATTGTTAGGGAGACCTTCATTTCGAATGAAAGTGCATGAAGAAGAGATTCATTGGTCGATCTCACCAGATGAGGACGGATGAAACTCGTAGTGCAGCCGTTTGGCTTTTATACGATATTCATGTTGACGCAGTCCACGAGACTTCCTCCCTCGTTTCGGGTAAAAACGTGCTGAGCTTTCGTCCATTATGATGGACATCATCAGAGCTGGGTGTCATTTTTTTTAGTGTCACATTAACACTAAAGCAAGAATACTATTCGGCTCTATCTTACTTATATAGACTTAATCGAGTCAAAAGATAAAAAATTAAAAACCTAGATAGATCGATATAAAGTGGTTTGGCTAATTTTCTTGCATACTGATCTTGCTATTTTTGCTCGATTGTATGAGTATGTATATTTGTGCGTGTTAGCGTCTATATGCAATACAG